TCGTTAGATATGAAAAGGTAATATTGGGGTATTTTTATTATAAACCAAAGTGAAAGGGGATAATAGAAACGTTCGCTAAGAAGAAACAGAGAATAGATAACGATAGCAAAATATTTAAAGGATCGAAGAAAAATGAAGATAGCCACTTAAATAATTTATTTTCTATTTTATCACTTAATTAAATAAGATAATAATAGAGTCTGGTATTAACTTAAAAGAACAAAAACGATGTGAAGTCTATAACTGTTACTAAAATATATTCTTGCACTATTCGATAAACTATACACTATCTTAACAGACCCAATAATATCAAATAAACAAGCATTACCTTTAACGGATATCTTTTCTTAGTGTACCTTGGTATTCCTTGGTACCTGGACTCTAAGATATAATTAGTTCAATATCAAATTATAGTATTTTTTATTATTATTATTTTGTATCGTTTGAAATATTCATCATCGTTCGAATCTTGTTGCTTATTTAGATCGAAATTTTATACGCGATTAAGGTCAATTTGAATTAAAAATAGAAGCTAAAATGATTGACGAAATAGGAAATCAAGCAGATGATGTACTTAATTACATGGATAGTCCATGTATGTGTTTGGAGTTTTAAACTGATAGATAATTGTTAATTTAGTATTAGAGTAATTGACAATACAACATCATCTATTATCATTTTGATCAGCATTGAAAAGCAGTCCTCAATAATTGAATTTGTTTGATGATTATTCTCTAGGTAGTCATCATGAAATGCGGTACTATTTTTAATTTCGAAATCATATAAAGATCATAGAAAATTCTGCCTGTTAGAAGTAGAAATTGGTTTATTTTGTATTAGCGAATAATGAAACTAATATATCCATCTACTTATATGTTCATATTTTGTTGGTTTTCTAGAGATTCATGGTTTTTTGCGATTTCAGATTTAAGATATTATCTGACTTTTTTTAAAAAATACCAAGATTCTTGCATATTTTGATATGATTGTTTATATTAAGTTAAAATTAAAGCTCTTTAAGAAATTGAATAACTTTACTTTGTATTTATGTTATGTTACTATTCAACTTATTCTTAATGAAATTTCGTTTAATGGTTGTTAAGCTCTGTTTTAAAAATGAGTATGCTGATTTTATGGGTTTTTTTCCTTGCCGTATATCACTTTCTGCAGATCCAGAATGTACAAATTTATGGTCAAGTTATCAATCTAGAACATTTTGAAGGTTAAAAATGTAGATCGTTTGACTCTTGTACAACTACGTATATATACATCTATATACGAATGATATCATGAAATTTAATGTTCTAAAGGCATCGTTCTATTTTCTTATTTTCTAAATCAAACTGTTAAGTAGGTATTGATAATCTTGGTTGTGATATATCAAGAGGTCAGTTAAGTCTATATATCATTTTTACCAATTGATAATTAGAATTAAAGTTTATAGAGTTTTTTTTTAAATTTAAATTTTTTCTTGAACTATTAATGAAAGTCATTTTTGTAATGTTTGAACGGTCCTCAAGTTGGACTATCAAATACTACATGTACGTACTGTTTTCATTTTACAAATTATGTAATAAGGAGAAATATTCACTGCATGATAGTTTATTACATTTTTGTAAAAGGTTATAAAGTTTAAATTATATCGTGAATTCATAAATTAAATTATTAGAATTTATAAGTAGTTCAAATCTAATTATCGATGAAGCAGACTCATATATGACTACAGTCAGTACAATTTTACCAGGGGCTGGTTAATATTCAAATTTTAATAGTAGAATTAATAGAGTACTTCAATTTTACAAAATATCATCCGATAGGTCTATATATGATTGTTAGTTTTTAAGAGAATATTTAATTAGTAACTTGTTTTTACGGAAATCTTTAAATTTTAACTTTAGCTTCTTTAAAAAGGCATTTAAAGACGGCTATATCTCTTCAAAAAATAAACATTAATGTAACGAACAATTAAGAAACCGTTTAATGAATTATTTGATTATATCAATATACTATACAAAATATTCCTTATTGAATATATCTATTTAATGCGAAAATCAATTAAATACTACTTTCTTACCAGTAGATGGAACAATAGCTGCAGAGGCTCTTTGAGCGGAAGCTAAAGCTACACTACTCTTAACTCTGTTATTAGAATCAACATATTGTTTGTTACTTGGTCTTGATACACGTTTCTTTTCTACCGGTTTTCTTTCACTAGATGATACAACTGGAATGTTGTTTGTGTTCAAGTCAAAGTCTCTCTTTGGTGGGGCGCTGGTATCTCTTCTCTTTACTTGTCTTTTACTTCTATCTTCACCAAATTCCATTCTCAATGGTCTACCAGCAATTTTTCTACAACTTTTATCAGTAAGCGCTTTAGTAGCACCTTCTTCATTTTTGAAATCGACAAAGGCAAAACCTTTACACTTACCGGTATCTTGGAAAGTAGCCATACGGATTTTGATAATTTCACCACAATGTTGGAAATGTTTTCTTAATAAATCATCTGTGGTATCAAAGGATAAATTACCAACAAATAAAATTCTTGAAGGTGGGTTTTTAGACATTGAGATCAAATCATTTTTGTCTGGTCTACCTTCATAATCCTTAGAGTTTTTAACCAATAAATTTCTACCATTTAATTGAGATTCACTTAAAGCAACTACAGCCAACATCTTTTCATCAGTCTTAAAATCTAGATAACAGAAACCTTTATTCTTGATTTGTTTACCATCATTTTTAGCTAAAGGCATATTAACTCTTTCAATATCTTCTTCAGTAACTCTAGTAGACTCTTCATTATCTTTTGTCTTTAAGACAATAAACTTAATAATATCATCCTTGGTGGTATCGAAGGATAAATTACCAATCCAGACACCAATTTTCTTCTCCTTCTTCTTCTTATCCTTTGGTACAACTTCAGAAGATTTGGCTTCTTCTTTAGTTTCAGCAGATTCTTCATCATTAGACTTAGATTCTTCAGTTTCCTTTTTATATTCCGCAATAGAAGCAGGATCGATATTAAATTTGGAATTCAATTCTTCCAAAGTAATCTTACCTCTTCTTAACAAACGTTTTTGTTTTTTAGATAAAGGTACTGAGCTACTTAAATCAATTTCAATCTCATCTTCTGCCTTTCTCTTTTTAGTTGGATCCGATAAGGCCTTCTGAATTTGTTCTTCCTTTGATAAAGTTTCTTCCTTGCTCATCTTAAATTCAGGTACGTCACTTTAGAGTCTTGTATAATTCATATACCAACCAATATTGTCAAGTAAATATAACAATACTATTTGCAACTACTCTTTTTAACTATTAGTTCAACTCATTTCATCTCATCTCATCTCATCTCAAGATTTTTTCATTGCTGGAATAAAAATTTTAATGTTTACATATCACGTGCTATATAAAAGAAATTTCCAAGCTTTGCAAGTTTTTACCAACCTGGGACTTAAACGTCATAATGAATATAAATTTAAATGAGTGACTGATTAAAATAAATATATATAAATTAAAAATTGTTAAAATTAAATTAAATGATCAAATTAAATTAAATTAAATTAAATTAGAATACTATGAATTTTCAAAAAAGACAGAAAAAAATATTAAATATATAAAATTAAAAGGACACAAATTATTGATAACATGGGAGGTTTAACATTAATTAGTAGCAGGAAATCATGATTTTTGGAAAGATTTGAAATCTATGAAATGACAGGAAGAACATTTTAACTAATAATACAACTTATTTCAAACCAATCCCCGGAAACCAAAGATGATTATAATTTCGAGTAAATATAAGTCAGCTGAAGAATTTCTTTAATTTACTAAAGATACCCTTCTTCTTCTTCTTTTCCTGAGGTCTTGGTTCGTTAAGTGGGGTCTTCTTAGTTGGACTAGAAGGTTTAGATTCTTTCTTTGGCTTTTCTTTTGGTCTTTCTCTAGATTCAGGTTTTGGCTTTTCCCTGGATTCAGGCTTTTGTTCTTTAGGTTGCTGTTCTTGTTTGGCTTTCTCAGAAGTAGGAGCTTTGGTTACCTTTTGAGCAACAGCTTTGGTTTCTTTTTGAACAACAGCTTCTGCAGGAACAGCAGCTTGTTCAACCATTTCCTGTTTAGGTTGAGCATTTGGATCCAAAGTAGGTACACCTTCTTCTGCTTCAATTGATTCCTTTTGATTCAATCTTTGATTCAATTCCTTTGCATTGACATCAGAAACTTCATAAAATTCTTTTACAGATGATGGATTTTTAACCATGACTGGGCCAGGAGCAATAGAAGAACCGAATTTGTTAAGTGGAGTTTTAGTTTCGACCGGTAAAATGTGAGCTTCCTTTTGAGACAAGTCTTCTTCTTCGACTTCTTCAGGTTTGACAGGTTCCTCCTTAGTTGGCTCGACTAAATCAGTCTTTGTTTCCACTAGTGGTACTTCTTTGTCTTCAATAGTAGTTACTGGTGGTTTTTCTTCATTTTCTTCTTGCTTAGTAGCTGGTGTTGAAGTCAATTCTTCATTTGTAGCTTCAATTTCTTCACCATCTTCTTCACCTTCATGTCCTGGAGTTCCATCCCTGGAGCTTTCAGTTTCTGGTTCATTGGCACCTTCTTTCTTTGTAGACTTCTTCTTTTTATTTTTTTTCTTGTTCTTGTTCTTTCTCTTCTTCTTGTTTGAAGTAGAAGGAGGACCACGTTGAGTGGATTGGGCAGAATTAGCAGCTAATAAACCACCCGACTCAGGAATAGCACTTTTAATTTGACTAGTACTAAACATATCATCCTTAGTGATAAAATTGTTTTCAACGCAATCTTTTGGGTCTAGTTCCTTTTGATAGTTATCATTAACAGTCCAGTTACCATCTACAATAAATTTGAAATAAAATTTATCTTTATCTTCTTCAGATAATTCAACAGGTAAAGTTATTTCAAAATCATCCTCTAAAGTTCTGACCATAGGTAAAGTACCTTTCCAGTTATCGAAATCACCAGTTAAAATGACATCATTAGGACCCTTTGGCCATCTGAAAGTAAATTGAGTTGCCATTATTTCTTATTATATGTGTTTATGTGTTTATGTGTATATGTGTAATTTTATTTGAGACGACGATACTGTGTTTAGATGAACAGAATAAACTATTCAACTAATATAACGTTTGTGTAATTTTTGAAGGAATAACTAACAAAATAGTAATTGTCGATTTCTTGTATACTTCAGTTCAACAAGACAACAACAATATCCCGAAGAGTTCAACTGATTGCACTATATCTTTTTTTTTTTTTGGTCTTGCAGTTTGTTGCTGGTGTATATATATATTTATATATATATGAATCCTGACACAATAGCGCAGTTATAGTTATACTTCTATGTACTCGTCAGAATAATAGAGATAAGTGATAGGGATGATAAAAACGTTCTCAAGAGAAACTTTTTGAATCACAGTGAAAAAAATCGATATTAGAATATAATAATGCAATATTGATAATACCTATAAATAAAAGCAGTTAGCTGAAGATGGAAAGAATGTTATAATATAACTATAAAAAATCAAAGTTCAAATTTTGAACAATACAAAATGGAATACGATAAAAAAACAGATTAAGTAGCGTATTAAGTAGAATGTACAATCAAGACCAAAGAAAGAGAGAAAGAAACAGACAGAGACAGTAAAAAATGAGATAAACTTCTTACGTTGACAAGTAATCGATCAAAATTCCAAAACATAAGAACAACAACAATACACTACAGTTGTTTGTTAATTCACAAGTATTTATATATATATATGTACATCTATCTATATCTGGCTATCTGGCTATCTAGCTATCCAACTATCTCTATAAGTAATAAGTGTGTTGTTGTGGGTGTATGTTAATTATACCTTTTTGTCAGATGTAATAACAAGCTATCTATTAAATGATAGCACTTGAGAGAAGGGTTCTGTTGTGTCAATTGATGCTCTTGCTTCATAATTTCTAGAAACTAAATTGGCATTAGCTAACCACAACAGTTTCCCCTGGTAAGGTTGATTTGGTGGTACTCAACCAGTAGAGGTAAAGAGAGAGAGAGGCAGACAAAACGAACTGAATGCGTGTTGCTGTCGTTGTTGTAGAACAATTTTTTTTATTTAGTTATTTAGTTATTTATCTGTTTGGTTCCTACCCAGTTAGTTGTAGTTGTAGAACAGTTTCTTCCTTGCCTCTATCAAGAACCATCTCATCTCATCTCATCTCATCGGTTTCTTTGTTTTGGTTTGGGCTCCAGTGGTTGACAAGACAAAACTTCTTTTTTTTAATTCTTTTTTTTCTTGCTTTCCTTTGGAGAGAGAGAGAGTGGTCCCGAACGTGTTTTTAGGCAGTGGCTGACGGGGCCAGTTGGCTGGCCGGCTGGCTGGCTGTCCTATTTTGTCTTGTCTTCCTTCTGTTGGAAGGGTGTTTTCTGTTTTGCAGTGTGGATGGGATGAGATGGGATTGCGGTGCTAATGGCTAGTGGCTAGTGGCTAATGGATTGAGTTATTCTGGTGGTTGTTTCTCTGGAAGTAAAGCCCTAACTTGAAGACCGATTTTTTTGGTGAGCTTTAAACAAGAGAGTGTAGTGAGAGTGAGAGTGGTTAAGCATTCAGCAGAAGATTATGAACATACTTTGACATATTTTGTTGTTTGATTGTGTTTGATTTTGTTCCGTATGGTGGAGGAGATAGACAAGTAGTGGTTGGCATGGTGTGATATGGTCAAGTGAGACCAGTAAGCTAATCAGATAGTCAGCCAGAATTGTGTTTGTTGTAATTGATATAGATGGATATGTTTTGCAGCGAGACGTAGGTGAGTTAGTTAGTGCTAATTAATATTCCACCTTTTTTTACAAAAAAAAAAAGAAAAAATAATAAAAAATGGAGAAAAGACGTCAGTTACTGTTGGGAATGTTGTTAGAGAGAGAGAGAGAGAGAGCGGGAGCAAGACTTGCTTAAAATTAAATTGGTTACTTTTATTTCAGATTAATTAGGAAGTCAGTTGTTGATGATTCAATATATGTAAACAAATATATATATATATATTTGTTTACACGGGGGTGAGGGGCAGGGGAGGTTGTCAAACCAGGTTATTACTGCCTGCTCTAATTTACTAGGAGGTGGAGATGAAAAGGGATACGCCATAATTAAAATATGGAGTACTACAAGAGTATTAATATTTAGTCTTTGATATATGTCTAAATATCATCTGTATATTCTTGAGCTTCTCTTTGCTCCCCCCTCCTCCTATTCCTGGAAAAATTTGAGTAAATTAAACGTTAAGAAATTCCTTAATAGACGCGTATTGTTCCTGCTTTATCTTTACTACAATTTGTTGAACTGTATTATTCCGATGTTACTTGGTTGAAACCTTGACAGCCGACGTCGTGTCAGACTATCTAGGTTGCCATATAAAAAGAGACTACGATATATTATTGTATATTATACAGTATGCCAACTTATATACAAAAAAAAAATAACACGCAGAGAATTAATTAATCGTATATTTTCTTTACCGTACAGAAGGCCACTATAATATTCACCATGAATAAAGACAGACCCACCTTTTTTTTAACGTATATCAAACTAACTCTCGAATATAATAATAACTAAAACTTTATTAAAAAGGCTAGAATTTAATACATAATGTTGCAACATACATGTGATGTGAACGTGATGTTCATGTGATTTCATATTTTGTCATCATAAACAAAAGGAATAAGATTTTCAAAAAACTTCAACAAATAACACGGGCGTGTGGTCTAGTGGTATGATTCTCGCTTTGGGCGAATTCCGAGTTACACTTGGGGATACAAATCATTCAAATATGCGAGAGGCCCTGGGTTCAATTCCCAGCTCGCCCCAATTTGTTTTTTGTTTTTTGCAATCCAACTAATTGCAATGAATTTTTTTAACAATGAAGGATTGATTGATGATCATGAACCAAATTTTTAATCAATAGGTCAATCATAGCCTCCAAAATGACAAATCTATCCAAATATATTCTGATCAATCTTGCAAATATCAATACATAACTAACTTTTAAAAAATCAGCAAATATGTCATTTCTCAATGTCCTCCAAAAGCAAAATAAAATGATAACTCGGATTGAATGAATATTACACATATAAACAAATACACTTTGATTTTAAAAATATAATATGCAAGCATATATTGATTTCTACTATATATACAAAATTAATACAGAAGGATTAAATAAATTAACTTAGGAATGCAATTAGTCAACTTCTTCAACAGTTGGACCCTCAGCTTCTGGGGCTGGTGGTGCTCCACCTGGGAAACCACCCGCACCAGCGTCAGCACCTGGCATACCACCGGCTTGGTATAATTTAGTCATTATTGGGTTTGTGACTTCTTGTAATTCCTTCAATTGGTCATCGAATTCTTCCTTAGAGGCAGTGGTGTTGCTATCTAACCAAGCAATGGCTTCTTCAGCCTTAGTTGTGATAGTTTCTTTATCAGCAGCGTCTAACTTATCACCAGCTTCAGAAACAGTGCTCTTCAATGAGTAAGCAACAGATTCCAATTGATTCTTAGAAGCGATTCTTTGAGTTTCCTTTTCATCTTCTTCCTTGAACTTTTCAGCTTCAGCAACCATGTTATCGATATCTTCCTTAGATAATCTACCTTTATCATTAGTGATAGTAATCTTGTTAGTCTTACCGGTACCTTTTTCAACAGCGGAAACGTTCAAAATACCGTTAGAATCGACATCAAAAGTAACTTCAATTTGTGGGACACCTCTTGGAGCTGGTGGAATACCAGCTAATTCGAACTTACCCAAGATGTTGTTATCCTTAGTCTTAGCTCTTTCACCTTCAAATACTTGAATCAAGACACCTGGTTGGTTATCAGCATAAGTGGAGAAAGTTTCAGATTTCTTTGTTGGGATAGTAGTGTTTCTTGGGATCAATTTGGTCATGACACCACCAGCAGTTTCAATACCTAAAGATAATGGAGTGACATCCAACAACAATAAGTCTTGGGTCTTGGAAGAAGTGTCACCAGTCAAGATAGCGGCTTGGACAGCAGCACCGTAAGCGACAGCTTCATCTGGGTTAATAGATCTGTTTGGTTCCTTACCGTTGAAGAAGTCAGTAACCAACTTTTGAACCTTTGGAATTCTGGTAGAACCACCAACCAAGACGATTTCATGAACTTGGGCTTTGTCCAATTTGGAATCAGTCAAGACTTTTTCGACTGGGTCCAAAGTAGATCTAAACAAATCAGCACATAATTCTTCAAATCTAGCTCTAGTGATATTGGTGTAGAAGTCGATACCTTCGTATAAGGAATCAATTTCAATAGAAGTTTGAGCAGAAGAAGATAAAGTTCTCTTAGCTCTTTCACAAGCAGTTCTTAATCTTCTTAGAGCTCTCAAGTTTGTAGTCAAATCCTTCTTGTGCTTTCTCTTGAATTCTTGAACAAAATGGCTAACCAATCTGTTATCAAAATCTTCACCACCTAAGTGGGTATCACCTGCAGTGGCCTTAACTTCGAAAATACCATCTTCAATGGACAACAAAGAGACATCAAAAGTACCACCACCTAGATCGAAAATCAAGACGTTTTCTTCAGTACCTTTCTTGTCCAAACCGTAAGCGATAGCAGCGGCAGTTGGTTCGTTAATAATTCTTAAAACGTTTAAACCTGAGATGGTACCAGCATCCTTGGTGGCTTGTCTTTGAGAATCGTTGAAATAAGCAGGGACAGTGACGACAGCGTCATTGACTGTACCACCCAAATAAGCTTCAGCAGTTTCCTTCATCTTACCCAAGACCATTGAAGAAATTTGTTCTGGGGTGAAAGTTTTAGTTTCACCTTTGTATTCGACTTGAATCTGTGGTTTACCCTCAACGCTGACGACTTTAAATGGGAAATGTTTCATATCACCTTGGACTTCAGCATCTGTGAAGTTTCTACCAATCAAACGTTTAGCATCGAAAACGGTGTTTGTTGGGTTCATAGCAGCTTGGTTCTTAGCAGCATCACCGATCAATCTTTCAGTGTCAGTGAAGGCAACATAGGATGGAGTGGTTCTGTTACCTTGATCGTTGGCAATAATTTCTACACGATCATTAGCAAAATGAGCGACACATGAGTAGGTGGTACCTAAATCAATACCGACAGCTTTAGACATAACTTAAAATAATAGATCAAACCTATAAGTTTATTTTTCAACACAGTTCCAGTTAATTACTAACAATTGAATAACAATTGAAGTTTCCTGATACTTTTCTATGACGTGTTATAAGTATCTTATATGTGAGTATAAGTAATATATAAAAAATACAAAGAGGACAATATAACAATAAGAAATCTAAAAACAAGATGAATTTAATCTGAACAAGTTCAATCAGTGGCCCTTTTATATCTTTCCAAAATTATAATTGATAATTGACAATAGGATCTTTAAAGATAGAGAGAGAGAGAGAGAGAGAGAGACTATGAAAGAGTTATGCTCTAAATCGTTATTTGGACTGAAACTTCATTCCCCTCGCCCCTTAAAAGAACCTTCTAGAAGCTTCTGAATCGTTTTTCCTTTGCAATCCAATTCAATCCAATTCAATCCAATCCATTGCCATTAAATTACGTATACTCAACCGCAACTGCAACCGCAATAGTGAAATGTGTTAGCATGGGTGAATCAACCACTGTGCTTCGAACTCGACTCGACTCGACGACTTATTGCTGAAACAGGATTGCATTGGTTTTTTCGAAACTTCTAGAAAGATACAAGGAGCCAAAAAGAAAAACAGGGGTCTCTCTCTGTCTGTGTGTGCGTGTGTGCGTGTGCCGTTGTACGAGCAGACAAATCTGTAACTGTTTCCTGAACAAGCCAGTGTCAGTGCCATTTCGAACAATGGTCAGGATATTACAGACAGACAGACAGACAGACACTCGGCCTTTTTCCATATTTTGTTTGACCAAATAGGTTGCTGTTAGGATCAGGTTCGACAGATTGCAACGGTTGTGCGTGTGTGTGTTGAGTATGTGTGTGTAAGTGCTATATCTAGGTCCGATGGGACCTAGCTGTCATAACACACCAATGCTTTCCATCTCCTCTTACCTCTTCCATCCTACTAGAACATCCCCATTCATCGTTAACAACCCTCATGTTTTACTGACACTCCCCTCCAACGTCGTTCCACACATATAAATCACATATACACGTCATTTGTGTTCCCCATCCCGATACCACACCCACGTGACTTCTTGTCGAACCAAACCGAACCGAACTGTTTTACTTTTTTTTTTGTCTCATCTCATTTTCTCGTTTTTCTCATTCCGAAGCAGAGAGAGGCACACTGTCCAAAAAACTGGCAGAGATAGACGGAGAGACAGACAGAGAGGTTACTGAGAAACAGGAAAATTATATAGTGATTATTAAATCGAACATAAAAAAGTATAATTTACTTATTGTGAAATGGATATATCTCGATTCGAAACTTGCAATTGTTCTATGTTCTCTAGTCTCTGGTGTCTGATTCTAGCAGTGTTTACATACTGTATTCAATAAAAGACGTTGATTCAGAGGAATAATATTTGCAATTGGCCTTTTTTTTATCTTCCCTTCAACGTTGTAAAAAGTTAGAGAAACCCTCCCGTAAAGAGGTGTTGTTGTACTAGTTTTCTACTTTCTATTACACCAAAACAAGAAAAAAAAACCAACATCAAAAATCTGTTTCGTAAAGTTATCATCTATACTATAATATTCATCATGACTACTGCAAACTCTGAACTAGATAGGGAACATCAGGAACAGATGTTCATCTATTTACAATCTCTCGAAAATTTCTTTAAAGTAACTGGTATTAACCATGATAGATCAAAATCCGCAAGGGCTCAGAAGGCAAGATTAAAATTAATTAAATTATCAGCTCTACAATTTTATGAATTGAGTACAGATGTATTCGATGAGTTGAATAGAAGGATAAGCGAAGACCAAACTAAACCAAATTATCTATTACCGAAGGTCAATTTCCATTTAAAACGTAATCAAGCAAGACAAAAATTAGCAAATTTATCTCAAACTAGATTCAATGATCTTATAGACGATATTTTATATGAAATACGTAGAAGAGGAATGGGTTACAATCCAAACGAAATTAATAGTTTTATTAGCAACGATGATAATATCTCAAAATCTTCAAATTTAAATTTAATAGCTCCAACTATCGGCCTACAAGAATCTGAAATCGTGCCCAAAAAGGCATCAATAGATTGGTCAACCGAAGAAGAAGAAGAATCCGAGTCTCATAAAAATATTCACAAGCTTTATACTGGCGATTTCGATACTATCACGTCAGAAAAGGATATATTAAACAAATCTCATCATGGTAACACCATAAAATCCTCTCCATTGATACAAGAAACTTCAATGAAATTTAACCAACCTGCATTTGATCTAAATAGTTCGCCTGAACAAAGACAACAAAAACATGATAATAATAATAATGATAATACTAATAATACTAATAATACTAATAATAGTAAGAATAACAATAATAACGATAATACAACAACAACGATCTCTATTAATGATGATACGACCACTCTAGAACCAACAATTGCAAAAGTTGTCAATGTACAAGAAATAATCCCACCAAAACCAAGTATGAACATCAAAACAAACCACCAACAACACTTACCATTTAATGCATATGATATAAATTATAAAAATGAGATAACCTCATTAAGCGATCAAGTAAGTAAATTATCAATTGAAAATGAAAAATTGAACCAAATGATAGCAGAACTAAAATTGGAACCAGGCATCGAATTAATACATTCTTCAAAAGATATGCTAACAAGATTAAGCAAAAAATATCCATTAGATAAAAATGCATTAGAAATGTACATTTCCAACGACGGTCATGTTCCTATAACTATCCTCTTGAAGATAAATGGATTGATAAACTCATTTTTCGAACAGCTAATTCAAAGAAATCCGGACTCTATAGGGAAATACTTGTTTGAAATTCTCTATCAACTTTCCAATTTGGTTTATGAACTCCTGCTTCGTACAGATTTCCCGATTTATAAAGATCAAATTGTTTTACTCAAGGCTAGTTATTCTCATTTGATTACTTCTGTAAGATATTATTCTATTTACAGCTCAATTCTACCTCAAGTCACAGTTCAAGCAGCTGTCACAGAATTTTCATATTCTGTTTGTAATTTAATACACCATGCAAAATTAATAGATGATGACAATTCCGATCATGATCAAGACACTACAGCGGGCGATTTTAATTCCTCCGTAGTTCATAGAGGTTTTGAACACCATAGTAATATAAATGGTGCTAATCTTCACGAATCAAATAGTCCGTTTTCAACCCAAAAAATCCTATCATCACTGACAACTAGTGGTAATTACAATGAAATGAATGGTAATAATTACGACAAATCGTTAGATAAAAAAAATGAGGGAGCAGAAGAAGATGACAATGACGATTTCGAGCTTTCTCCTGTAAAACCTTTAAAAATTCTACAAAAGGCTACAATGAATATGAATCCAAGCTCTTCATCTTCTGCAAGGAAAATATCATCTGCTGGAGTAATGCCTTCATTATTGGATGCTAGTAGATCGAAATCTCAACTAAATATACATTTAGAAAATGGGAGATCTACTAATACAGAAAATAGTGTCCCAACAATTGAGAAACGATCTCTGAAAATAATTTCAGACGTTAGTGCATCTAACGGTGATATTAATAAAGGTTTAAAGGAGTTAGAGAAAAATAATGATTATGATATAAAGGAAGATGTAAACAAATCAGTAAAAGTAATCTCACCAACCAAGGTAGAATTGAGCACCGAAGAAGAAAAGGAACTAAACAAGAGCGATGCACAAGTAGATACTTCATTACAATCACAAACGCTGTACAACGATAGTAATGCGATATCTATCGAAGATTCTTCAATGGCAAAAATGGATTCTAAATTAATTAATGAAGCGGCAGTCTCTAAAAACACCAAAAACAAGACCATCACAGAAGACCCAGAGACATCAACTCAAGTATTTACTGATAAAATGAAGAAATTTAATAATTCCATCGGTATTGGATTCAGGATGGCATCACCAAATGATGACACTAAAAAGTTAGAATCCAATGTTAAGAAAAACGATGAGATCAAAGGAGACCCTAAAGTTGTACCAATGGAAAGATCAGTGAAGAGGGAACCTACGATTCCCAAATACAAAGCTGAAGAATCTAAACTGACAGCTAAGATGAAACAAGTTTTGGAAGTTGATGACGATTTACCTGTAGTATCTAAGGGAACAGACGAAGTAACAGAGGTGCCGGTTGTGGTTGAGAAAGATATTGCAGTCGACGAACCGGTTGTTGTTGAGAAACCTGTTGCAATTAAAAAACCTGTTATTATAGAAGAAGATTTAAATGCAGCACCTGACGTCGTGAAAGCCAATGTACAAAGAGCTGAGAGGAATAAGATGGATAGACAAGAAGCGGCAGATGATGATGAAGAGGAAGAAGAGAGCGAATCTGAATTTGAAACTGGTAGTGAATCGGAAGAGGAGTTTGATATAGACGCATTTGATATAGAGAATCCCGATAATACGTTACGTGAATTGCTATTATACTTAGAGCATCAAACAGTTGAAGTTATTTCTACAATTCAATCATTATTAAGCTCTATAAAGCAACCTAAATCTACAAATGGTAAACTTCGTATTGAATCCAATGCTATTAATCAAGTAATCGGACAAATGGTTGAAGCTACTACGATATCTATGAACCAAAGTCGTAATGCTGGTTTAAAAGAGCATGGTAATTGGGTAGTTCAAAGTCTTTCTGATTGTAGGAGACGCATGACAATGCTATGTGATTTAAAACCAGATGGTAAATTTATTAGCAGTATTAAAGATACTGAATTTGCAGATAAGAATTTCAAGCAAAGATTAGCAGGGATTGCATTTGACGTTGCTAATGTACAAAAGAGTTAGTTAAAAGTGTTGAAGAAGCGAGTTTAAAAGAAGAGATAGATTATTTAAATTCACATATACAGTTGTAAATTCTTTAATCTAATTCGATTTCTAACTTAATCAAAATCTATAGTTGTGAAAGCCCTACTCTACCCACAGCCTCCAATATATATCTATGTATACATATGTACATACATAAACGTATTATACTTAAGTGTAACATTATAATAAAAGCTGTACCTGTTGTATATATAAATGTACCTTATAAAATAAGGGATTTCAAGGTATGGTATTAAAAAAAAAAAAAAAAAAAGGACAGCCAGGAAAAAACAAAGGATGAGGAGGATAAATAATAAATAAGAGAAGTATTAAAGACGAACTCCGAAAAGTGTATACATGCACCGTCTTGTAGCAGAAGCAATAAGGAGTCGTCAATTCATATGGTGGTAATGACGAAGATGATGGCTAATGAATTAGAGTCTAGTTGGAAACTTGTTGACATGGGGGAAGAAGAGGATGTTTTATCCAGTAACAGTAGTGACAGCGAAGAGAATAGTGGATTTGAAGAGATCAACAGATCCTCAACCAGTAGATTTAGTGGTGATGAAGGTAAGGAAAAGGAAAAGAAAGGAAGACAAGAGGTCAATGTCAGTAGTGTTGTACTAATCAGCGTTGGTATTACGATACTAGTTGAGTTGATGGCGATTTTTATTTATATAGGTACACAAAACTATTTTGGTTATCCAGAAATTGCTATTGAAGAAGGCCAGAATGGCAGCATTGGGATATTTCAGAATCTCAGCAAAAACGCCAGTGGCGGGAAGTATTATGTAGATATCGACAAAGGAGATATCATTGAAGTTGGCAAACCGGTTGAATATATGGTTAAATTGGGTCAGTTTTACCATAATACGAATTACTTTGGGAATGACCCAGAAAGGATAGGCGAAAGATCAGACGATGGGTCTGGCTTAGATTATGAGAAAGTGTATA